CTTTGAATATGATTTCGCTGTCACTCACGAGCGGGAGCGTAATATATTGGACGAGGAGGAGATCGATGAGGATGAGTTCAACGAACACGAGAGCCGTATGCGCAAGTATTGGGGTGTGGCAACAACGGAACTTTAGACTGGACTTGCAGAAACACATCAAATCAAAACATTCCAAATCATTTTATAGCCGTTATAATTGTACATACGTATTGGAACTATCGATATGAGTCTACTCCCACTCAACTATCGATACGACTTGCCGACTCTCACGTGGCCCTGCTCTTTCACACTTCCCTATATTTAATGTTTACACATATACTTGATTAATTAAACATGCATTTGCCACAACAACGGCCGCATCATGACATTGCCGCGTTATTTGCGGCTGCCCAGCCGGACTTTCTGCGGGTTAGTGCGCCCATGGTGCGATACAGTAAGCTGGAGTTTCGAAGATTGGTGCGGATGAATGGAGTTCAACTAGCATTCACACCTATGATGATCTCCGACTCGATCAACAACAGCGAAAAGGCTCGGCAAAATGAGTTCTCCACGGACCCCGACGATCAGCCACTCATTGCACAGTTTGCGGCCAAAGATGCGACAGAGTTTGTCACGTCGGCCCAGCTGATCTATCCCTATGTCGATGGCATCGATTTGAACTGCGGCTGCCCCCAGAGCTGGGCGATGTCCAAGGGCTATGGATGCGGACTGCTGCGTCAGCCGGAACAGGTGCGAGAGGTTGTGCAACAGGTACGGCGTACTCTGCCCTCGGACTTTAGTGTCTCCGTGAAGATGCGACTTCTTGGCGGCAGCGAAGAGGATTCTGTGGAGAGGACCATCGACCTGGCCCGCCAACTGGAACGCGCTGGAGTCACTTTTCTCACACTCCACGGTCGGACGCCTGCCCAGAAGCATTCCAAGGACACGCTCAACGTCTCCGCCATGGAAGAAGTGCGCAAATCCCTGCAGATTCCCCTGATAGTGAACGGAAACGTAGAATCCTGGTCAGATGCCTGCGAATTACACGCGCAGACTGGTGCGGCTGGCGTAATGGCTGCCCGAGGTCTCCTCGCGAATCCGGCGCTATTCAACAGCGATTACCCGACAGCCACGACAACTCCTTCGGCCTGTGTGGAGCAGTGGCTGGACATTGCCTCTGCTGCCGGGGACAATTTGCTCTTCCAATGCTTCCATCACCATCTGACGTTCATGTGGAGCAGCGAAATGAAGCGATCCCTGCGCGTCCAGTTCAACAGTCTGGGCACAAAACAACAGGTCGTGGATTTTCTCAGAGAGCACTACAATGTGCGAACCAGTGGAGTCGACCCGGAACCGGCCCCTTACACAGACTGCACGTACACCCACTTTACCCCGCCCAGGCATGCGAGGCACATTGCTGCCGAGGCGGAGGAGAAAGCCTGGAGCTCTAAAAGCGATGGAAAATTCTTTACAGAGTTCAAGGCGCATCAAATTTCCAGTCCAGCAGGAGATGACCTGGAGCTGGGGGGTCTTTTTGGTGGAGAGGAATGATCCATCATCTGCTTATAGTTAGTTATAGTCCCAAATTAATAAAACCACACATTTTAAGTGCAATTAAAGTAGATTTCAAAATTAGTTGGTTGTTATTGTGAAACTAATTATATATTAAATTGTTTGTTTACAAATTAGATTGTGAAGCCTACGATGATTCTTATTTCTATACGATAGCGTGAAAACCACGCATAGAAGTGCTATCGATACTTAATTTCCATCTTTATCATCACTTACACACACACACATGCATATACAAAAGAAAGCAATAACACACACAGCCACGCGGAAAAAATAACTCAAGCGGAGCCATTCGACATTCTAGAACACATTTTATTTTCGCAACCAAGATGGGGCGCAGTAAATTCGCTCCGGCGAAGAAGGTACGAAACGAAAAGCGTTTGAGCAGGTGGTTGCAGAACATTGTATAGCTGTTAAATTTCCAGGTGATGCAGCACGACGAGTTTATGAATCGGATACGGAAAACGCTGTACTATGGCGTTGGGACAGCGGACAGTGAAATGGAGGTGTCCATGCCCTTTGCCGAATACGCATCGGAGATATTTTCAGAGCCCCATCGAGGCCACTCACTGCATCGCCTGAGCTGCGTTACTGCTGGCAAGATTCAGACCACAACACCTTGCTCGCTCATCATGGCCCTCATTTACCTGGACCGCTTGAATGTCATTGATCCAGGCTATGGCTATAGAATCACACCCCAGGAGCTGTTCGTTGTGTCATTGGTGAGTACAGTCGTACGATTATCATTGAATCATCATGCGCCTGCATAACCTGTTGATTGATAACCTGCACACCGTACCGAACACCGAGTGAAAAAAAGCCACCAGATTGTGGAGCACGCGCACACACACTCTCAATCAATAGTGTGGTTCTGTGAGTTGTCTCTTTGTTTTGCTGCTGCACTGCACTACATTTCATTATGTTTAGAACATTATTTACTTACACAGGGCCAAGTTTCAGTATGTGCGCATTACTTATATAACCTTACCTATACGATATATGATATGTTATTTATAGCTTGTCGTGCACGCTGACATGCCTATGTAGTGACGTCATTTGTTGTGGGGCTTACTCATCCCGTGTGCTGTTTGTTTATAGATGATTTCTACCAAGTTTTATGCCGGCCACGATGAGAAGATTTATCTGGAAGACTGGGCCAAGGAGGGCAACATGACCGAAGCAAGACTCAAGGAAATGGAACTAGAATTCCTTTCGGCAATAGTAAGGATATTCTCGAAAGAAGGAAACTATAATTAAATCTCATATTTGATTTTTAGGACTGGAATATATACATATCGAATGAACAATTCTTCGCGAAGCTAAGTAGCGTTGAGCGAACCCTGGCCGAGCGAGAGGGGCTGCGACGTGGCTGGCTGACCTACAGTGAACTGATGCAACTGCTACCCAGCTTTACGTGGATGAAATTTCTGTTGAACAGCATCACCGTAATGGCACTGAGCTATGCGGCGAGTGTGATAACCTTGGCGGGTGCCTTTTTCATCGCCAGCCAAGTGCCGGGCACGCTTTGGCATCGCCGAACGCCTACAAACGATGTGGCATCCACGGCAAACTCCACGACACTCACGACACCTGCCTCTGCACCTGACGCTACCCAAGCTGCTCCTGTTATTTCCAATGAAATGAACTCGTCGCCGGCAAACGAGAGCTGTGGGGCGCTGAATGTGGAAGCGGAACTGCTGAAGCTGGAGCAACAATACTGCGACGAGGCAAGACTGAATGAGATGGAAAGCAACCCGCAACGCTTTGTTCGATCCGTACCTAATCTACCGCTTAAAACGAATAACCGAAAGCCTGAAATGTTTGCTCCGCGGGACAATGCAGATCACTGGCTAAGCATCAAATCCGAATATAGCGACAGTCGAGATAATCCGAACTATTGGATATCTGGCCACGGCAACCGACACCACGATGACTTGGACCACTGGCAGCATCAGGCACAAAACGCATCCGTTTTCTGGCAATTGGTCAACGATGCTGTTCAGACTTCGTTCCTTGTCCGCTGGCCCGAAATATGGCCCAAATTAATCTAAAATCTATTTTATTATACGTATCACTTTTTTAAATTTTTCTCTTGCAACACGAAATACGATTATGTGTGTACATCAGCAATTGGGACTAGTTCCTCCTTGTCTGTAACGTTAACAACAATCTTTAACCGTGCAAATAAACTTATATATATTTTTTCAACTAATTGCAGAGCAATCTTGCTGTCTTTGAAGCTGAATAGAGTTTGATTTATTCTTTCAATAAGCTCTCTACAATTTGGACTGTTAACATTACTATATATTAGGCATATTTGTATATTTATTTACTAATCTGTGAAGCCTTTCGGGTAGGTTCCATGATTGCCACGGGAAAACATGGTGGGTAATATTGCACCTAATCGATTCCAGTCGATCAAGGGTATTTTTCCAGTTACAGGAAGCCATGACACAAGCACGAACCGCCCACAAATAGAGGATAAAATGTAATTTTTTTGACTGGGGAAAATATCTTTGATCTTTGATAATAATCAAATCCTTCATCGAATCAAAGACATTTTCTCGATCACAGGAAGACGTGGCACTCATAGATCGGCCCACAAATGGCAGAGTAAACTAAATTTGTGTGTTAGAGTCCATATCGAAGGAGGAGGAGCCATATCCATATCCCACCCAAGTCCGGTGCGACCGACAGAAGCAGCGACCTTCTCTTCAGCTTCATTTATCCATCGATCTGGGCCACGCCTTCTTATGTTCGGTAGAATCTTCTTGATCGAAAAGGATCACCAGCTTATTACATAAATACAGGCTAATAAAGTTAAAGACCAAGGACGCAGGCTCATTAAGCATATTCTTAGGCACTTTTCAGTGTGGCTTAGTGGAAAGGACAGTCAAAGCGGTTTCTACGTGAGTTTTCTTTTCTATAAATACGAGTACTGGTACCGTTTTCTTTACAGCAGATCCAATGGGTTCTATAATTTGTTTGTCTAATGTGCTTGCTATTTGATTATTTCTCTACAAAAAATGACTATTTTGATTACGTGTATTACATTTGGACCATTTACAGCTACAACACATTATTCTATATATATTTTGTATGTATCTAAGTAAGAGATACTTATAGATATTCGTTAGCTTGTAAAGGACACACAAAAAAATATCCCAAAAAATACAACAAAGAAAGGTTCACTTCGAGAGCCGAAGATTTTAGTAGTAACCATGCAGATCATTAGGTTTTATACTTAATGATAAAGCTAACCGATTTGGTGTTATATTGGCAGGATTATGTAGACACATATTTTAGAAATTGATTGCTCTTTCTTATAGTAAACAGACAGACGGATCGGAATGGCCTTTGATTATATCATAAGGTTTATAAATACAAGTATAAAACCCTCTGCAAGGTATACAAAACTGAAGTATTCGTTCTCAGAGCTTATTATAGAGAGTGTTAAGGCTCTATCTAAAAACGATTTTAGTTGCAGTCAGAGCAGAGCCAGTGCGGTGCGCGAAAATGTACATGTTCTAGAGGCTAATTGTTGCTATAAAAGAGTATACGTGTAGATTATGAGCTAGGATGAACTTTAATAGTAGTACAATAGATTAGTAGGTACATTGAGTGTCTCATTAGTTCGTTTATGCATTGCAACTGAGCTTCCGTTCGATGGAAATACAATTTGTCGTCTGTTCGTTGAAGGAAATGAAATGCCAAGACGTAGACGTTTAAAGCAAATCAATCAGCCGGCAGTTTAAGTCTAATATCAAAATATCAAAATAAAATCTTCAGATGGTAACAATAAATTAAACATAATAAAGACAATACAGCATCTCTAATTGACCAGAGTAACTTTAAGCTAATTATGTACAATTTGTGCCTCTTCTTTGTCGGCTGCAGCCACGGGCCCAAAGCCAGCCGCATCCTTGTTCTCTTCCATAAACCACAAGGGGCACATGCCCAGCAAACAGCCCACTGTGATGCCAATAATACGACCCTAGAATAATAGAATTATTATTGTTATAAGCTGCTGCTTCGAGTTCTTCTGTGGGCATCCGTTTACTTACAAAACTGGAGGCTCGCTTGCTGGACTTGAGCTCAAATTGCGCTGGCGCCATTTGAGGCTGCTTGAGGCCCAATATCTGACATCCGTGCTCCACATATGTAGCCATGGTAATGCCCATAATATCGCTTATGGTATTCCCCAGCCCCGCAGCAGCCATTGTGGAGAGGGTAATGAAATGGCCCATATAAAGCTCAATGTATTCGCCCTGCAATTGATAAACGTTAGCGTTTGCTTTTACTATTTATTCAAAGACAAGCTCACAGCCGTGATCATGATGAAATTGTCCAGGAAACCGAAGGCTATAAAGGGCACTGCGTTCACGAAAAAAACTGCAAGACGAAAATACATTTAGAGGGCTTTAATTAGGAGAAATGTATACCCAATACTTACTGCTGGACAATTGTCCTGCGGTGGGTGGCGCTGCCGATTCAACTGTGAATGAGAGAAACGAAAGTAAATACATTAATATCCACTACAGCAAAAAAACGGGAAAATCGGTTAGTCGAATTGCAGTTGAATCTTGCAGAAGGGGACAGGAGACCTTTTTGGTTAGTAGCTGATTGAATCTTTACCCATTTTCTTTCGCAGCCATTCATCGGGAACGGCACAAAAAGAGCCGGAAGGATCCACCTGGCCCAGTGTCGGTTTATTCGAGAGTCGTCCGAAGCGAGTCCGCCAACTGCCAACAGCCAGCTGGCCTACAGAATACGTGTAATTGTCAGATGTGTGTGGACAGACAGTGTGGATAGAGTATGGAGAGACGGGAGTGATTGAGTGTTGTTGTTCCATTGTTCGGGCATAAAGAGTAGAGTTGTTTGTTGTTTGTGTAGAGCGAATGGTTCAAAATCAAGAGGCGATGTATATATGCAAAAAAAAGAACAGATTAATTGCAGTCATTGTAACTGTTTGATGGCTTAAACAAATACTAAATTATGTATGTTCGCTGCATGCTTATAGAATAGAATAGAGTAGAATAGAATAGAATAGAATAGAGCAGAATGTTTAATGGAAATAGGAAATTGTAGTTGTATCTTAATGGATCACTGCAGCTTACTTCCGTTCATAAAACATAATACCAAAGAGGGTTCTCCCCGTTCATCTCCCTGGGTCTTTAGTTTTCCGCTTCTGGCTATTTACGACCTGCATTTAAGCCACATAAAATGCAAATTCAATGCACTATGACCTTGCTGTTATGTGTGTGTGTACATATGTGGTTTATGAATATTTTCATATATAACAGCTCCCCTATGGGGAGTATATGCGTACGTGTGTGTGCGAGTATATGCGAGAAGTTTTCCCGCATCATCATTATACCCTGGCAGTCGTCGAAGGGAAGGTGTATGTGCAACAGGGGAGAAAAGCCCCCCTCCCATTCAGTCATTAAGAACTAAAGGAGCTTTCGGTCTATAAGATTTGTTATTATAAAAAAGAATTACAAAAATTCAAGTTATTTTTTTATAGTTAATTTTTTAATTCCGTATTTTATATTTATATTTTTTATTAATTCAATTTTAACTTATATTTGTGTGGTTTTTATTTTTAATTGTTTAATTTCGTTTTTAATCTATATTGATTGAAGATAGTTTTTTATATTTCCGATCAAGACTGTTTAAAATTACTTTTTTCTCTAAAAAAAATTAAGAATATTAATGTTTTATCCACAATTCTGCTGCTATGAGGCTGATATTTGGTGGCACGAATTACATACATAGCTACGATCTACCAATTAATTACAAATCATCTTTATTCGTTTAGAATATAATCCAGAATATAGTCATAAAAGGCAGTACTTCAAGAGAATGTATTTTTAAAGTCCTGTCATGTCTATTCCTCTGTCCTTTAGATGCTTTTCTCTGCAAAGATTATGTACCCTAATTTAGTGGGTATGCCCATAGTCGATCCTTTAAGTAGGGGCTGCCATCATAGTTTTTCCAGTCCACACTTTCACGCCTTTAAAAGCATGCCCCGTGCATGATGCGTGGTGTGAGTGCTCTATGTGTGCTAAAGGCCTGTTAATAGGACCATTTTACGCTTGTTTTAGCGGAATTTAGTTAGCCGCAACGCTTTCGCGCGCCGACGCTACGAATATACATACTAATTACACTTCAAGGACGAAAGTCAGTGGCTCAATCATGACAAACTCCCCCTTAATGGGTTCTTTCTTCTACAAAAACTTTGGAGGATTTAATATGCTGTATCCTCGAATAATTAGGATACGCCATAAAATCATTAGTTGATCATTATGAGCAGGCGCCTTAATTAATTATTCCGCCCCTGATGCGGACTCTGAGCAATCTGCTGAACCGCAAATAGTACCCGTAGAAGCGGCCGCAGGGGCGCAATTTGTCAGACAGTGTCACACATAAGCATATACCCTTACTCACTCGTGTGTATTCATTCACCATGTGCGTGGCATTCACATGACACTGGCGGCCATAAGCTGGGTAATTATGTCATCTCTTGCCTCCTCTCTTGACCCCCAAAGTGTTTAACATTGGAATTCCCACTCGGGTCCCTTAAATCATGTCGTAAAATCGCAGGAATGCCTTCGGGAGTAATCCTGACCTTGCCACATTCGGTGGCACGCACACAGGGGGACACCTATGCTATTTGGGGTCTGGTTGTGATTTTCCACTGCACTCCCATTGAAGTGCCTTTGGTATCGCGTTTCCTTGGCACGCGACTTTATCTCACGATGCTGGGAATCAAAGAATTTTCTTAGAGAGTGGCTGCTCCTTGCTGTCTCTTTTGAAATTCAATTCAAGATATAATATTCAAGTACTTTCAAGTCAAGAGAGGTCTTCACCTTTTTCGGGAGGGTAAAAGCAGGAAAAAACATCAAAAAAAGTCCATTTCGCAGATGTTTTTATACTCTTTGCTCGGGAGATTGCTTATGTATCCTAAGCAGCTGCAAAGAAATTGCTCAAGATCTGGAAACAGACATGGAAAGATGCATATCGAACCAAAAGTAATATATATCTTATGGCATTAGCGGTTCCCTTTTTCATTTTTTACCTCTGGTAGGGTATAAAAAAAGAAATACTTTCTTCTTAAACTTTTCACGTTTATGGGGGCTACAAAAGATAAACGGGGTGCCATGTTGGCTGAGCAATTTTCCCATCCACCGAGGAAGGGGGACACCACCATACCCAACCCAAAAAGGAAGCAACAGGAAGTCACGTCTCCGTCCCTATTCCCCCCACGTGGGTTGTACGGATGCGCACAGGATTTTGTATATACATACATATACGATGCATAGTACGGTACGATGTGTGCTTCCTTTTGAGTATCTGTTGCTGCTGTGAACGATTTCCCAGGCAGTTCATGGCCAGAGAGCAAAAGCAGCCCCCCCCACAAAGAGACAGGAGCAAGAGCATCCCATCATCAAGGGCAGGGAGCAGAAGCATCCCATCACCAAGGGACATGAGCTGGCGCGGGAATGCGTATGTATATAAGGATGATATATGCTCGTATCTGTGGAGTGGAGTGAAGTGGAGCTCCTTTGCAATTTACATAACACTTACTTTGCATTTAAATTGCAAAAACCATATCAACACCAAACACATCTCTCATATTTGCTGGCCTTTTATCAGGTCATCGGGTGAGAAAAGCACACTTTGAGGTCAGATGTTGGATGCTGTGTGAAGACTATAATTTGATGTTAGTCTATATTTATAACGAGGAAAAGGCAATGCAGTTTTGCGGGTGCATTAAAAAGGCTTTAACCAAAGATTAGGAAAATTAACAAAATCCATGCTTTTTTTCGATTTCTTCTATCGCCGAAAGAATGTTTTTGGGACTTGTGCGTACTCATAACTCTTTAGAGGGTCCTGGGCAGGCTCTTGCTCCAAACAGTTCCCATCGTTCCAACATGAGGCGGCACATTGCTGCATGGACTCGAGGCGCACAAGCGAATCCTGTAGAAGAGAATGCCCAAGAACGCACAACAGTAAATTACATGTCGTGTGCATGATTGCTGGACTATTGATGCTCAACATGCATGGCGTGTGCATGATGCTCGAATCGAGTTTCGCTAATAAGGGTGTTTCCTTGCTGTTGGACTGCCCCAAAATTCAGAAAGGCTGTCTTAAAAGTGGCTTATAAGTTAAATACTTTGCTTTTAGTTCTGTTTAAGGCCAAATATTCAAGCTATATTTGGGTAAAGCTACTGAATATCCTTTACAAAGTTTCAAATAAACTACGAAGTTTATGCGCACAGCTAAAGCTTTCCTCAGGGTGTAGTCAAATCAACTTCTACTTAAAGTTGAAGCTCTTTTACCTTTTGTATTCCAATAACCTCGACGGCGTTAACGTGTTATCGTGGCCTTTAAAAACGTAACCGAAAACCAGCTAATCCTCCTGCACCACAATGTGTTACAATCAGAGAGGAAATACAATAAAACCCCGAGGCTCTCAGGCTGAAGCCCACACAAAACAAGCAGCCTTGTCAGAGAGCATGGTTTGTGTATATATCCTCTGTATTTAGTTGTGTGTGGCCTCCGCCTTCCAAGCCTCCTCCGACCCAGCCACCCCATCCAGGGGTCCACAGAATCCCAGGCATCCCGGGCCAGCATCTGGGAGCGGAGAGCTTTAAACGCACGGTTTTCACTTTTATTGGGCCCGCACCTTTGTGTGTGTCTTGTGCCTGTGACTGTGACTAACGATTTTCTTTGTTTTATGGCCCGAAAAAACACAAGCAGAAAGCAATTTCCTTTGGGTATTTCGACTAAAGATACACAGCAGTAGGAGCAGCAGCATCTGTTGCCTCTAAAGGAGCCAGAGATTACTCCAGGACCCTCTCCCTCTCTCTCTCTCTCGCTGTAGAGCTGTTGGCACGTGCTTCAAAGAAATTGCCTCACACATTGAATCAAATTACTATAGCTAGTATACACAGCCACGCGCTGTCAGGTTTTATTTAGAATGCACCGGAATTAAACTGCAGTTTGAGTGAAGTATTCAGCGCATTTAACTGCAGTTTATTGAAGGATAATTCACCCTGCGTTAAATTTAAATTGCTGCGATTTTTCCGTATCGATTTTTCAGTGGCTTCGTTTCGGCTTTCAAATTTATAGCCACATCCATTTTACCCAGAGCATGCGATGTACGATGTTCGACAGGGTAATTGTTATAAAGTGGAACGAATTTTCAGAGATTGAACCACTGAGATTCCATGCTGTGCCTCCCAATTGGGTCAAATCGGGATTTAATAGAATATGTTCTCCAGCCAAAAGGCACTTCCAATGCCTTACTGACATTTCTCCGCACAGCCCCAGCCACACAATGAACATCATTTAGTGCTTACAGAACCTTGGACAACGAGGCGTTGGGGCAACCACCCCACCCCACCCCAATCCCAGCAAGGACCCACCCCAATGGCAAACAAATTGTTCGACTTTCAAGAGTTTCGCTGCCTGTGGCGTGGAAGTTTTGTGCGGGCTTCCTTTGGGAGTGCAGGGTGCCTAGCGAACCGCTAATTTCATTAACTTGGGCTAGTACAAGTGATTCGAGCTTTATGGCCTGCGCTGCCTGGCCATCAAGTCATAAAAAAGCTTCCCTTCTGACACCTCCGCCTCCTAGAGAGAGGGAGAGACCTTTGCGGTTGGCAAGAAGCAACAAGAAATAAATGGGGTGTTGTTTTTGCTATTACAATCGTTTCTGGTTATTTTTCTTTGTATTACAATCGTTTCGGTTTATCTTTGTACTAGAATTTTTTCTGCTTTTTCTGGCTAGCTATTGGCCTAGAAATTGCAGTATTTCTTCCACTCCAAAACTAAGTTAAGTGGCCGTTTAGACACCAAATTGAAGACAACGAAAGTTTTTCCATTTCTGTTGATTCGTTAAAAAGTTTCAAGCGAAAGGCACTCAAAGAGTTTATTCCTACAAGTACCATCTGCAGACGCCTCTTTCATAGTATATTTGGCAGATATAGAATACAGATAATAGAGGTTCTGACGTTAGGCATTGATGGCCGAAAGGAAAATTACATATAAAGCAAAGATAAACAAATATGAATTAAGTGAGTCAGATTTTAATGAGGATTTGGGACTATATATCTATAGTAGTGCTGCGCATGAACTTTAAATTTTTAAAGCAGTGCAACAAAAAAAAAACTAAAATTATCAGCGACTGCAGACGGGATTCGCGCGCATTTTCTTTGGCACTTTTCGCGTCTGCATCTGACAGGCGAAGAATAAATCTCAAAGCAATGACAGCAGCTGGAAGCAAGGACGTGACGGTTTATTGGCATTGGAATCTCTTATTTTTTATTAATTGCCACTTTCTCTACTAGCCCTGTTTCTATAGGGAGGCACATTCGTGGAATTATGTTCATGGTCAGTACAAATTCGCACAGATCGATCCCTAATTATAATACTTGATCCATTCTCGCACTCCAAAGTCCTCAAAAATTATTCCTTAAAAAACATAAATGTCCTTTAAAAACTCTCCTATCTTCAACAATTTGTTGGCTATCTTTCAAGCACGTGCTGCGGTGCTTCACTTTTTTGATGTTTGAGTATTTGTTGAACATTCTGCCCGGCATCTAGTAAATCACCGTCGACGAGTTGTTATCTGCATTAGCCGCAAGCCGTCAGGCGTTACGTGAGCAAACCGCCAAGTGCTTTCGCTGATTAGTTAAGACAATGCCGTCAACAGACGCCTCTTTGGCAACGACTAACCGTTGGCGACTGTTTAATTCACAGGCAGATTCCCCCGAACATTTTTCGCTGTGACAACATCAGAACCAGACCGCCGACATTGTGCCGGAGGCTGCGGAAAAACTAATCAGAAAGTTTGCAGTGTGCAAAGTTCTGCTTAACTCTGACAGAAACAGGAGGGTATTATAAATATGGAAAGGGGTTTGTTAAGAAATTAAGGCGGGCTTTTTCATTCCATATATTTGAGGAAAGTTTGCTTTTTAGGTAGCTGTTCTATCTCATAAATTAAGCACAGATAATACACAATACTTCAAAGATTATAGTTTGGAATGTCTCTCAATAATCGTACAGTTGCTTGAGGCTCTACGAGCAGTGAGGTGTTAGAAAAACCTTCCATAGCCCACCGGCTACTTACTCCAAAATTAAGGGAGCGTTTCGGAGCCCTTAAATCGTCACCTGTGCCTCAACAAAAACTTTTCGACTGGTTAGGCTATGAAAACAAGGGAACCATGTTTAAAAAGGCATTTAAATAACTTTCTTCAAAGGTAAGGACAATTTGTACATCAAATCTACTACTATATCCTATAACAGTCATGGTTAAATCGGTCTTTAGATGATTCTTTGGCAGAACAACATTTATTTCCTACAATATTCAAGCCAAATTATATGTTTCTCCATCACAACACCTGCTTAATTATATAGCGGCACACTCAGCGGCACCTGAAGCGTGTATAAAAATCAATTTTGTTTGTCTGAAAAGTGTATCTAATGCTGTATGCACATTCTTTCATATTCAATTAAAGCCAACTTGCAACCAGAGCAACGTGAAAGTTGTTCCTGCTGCTGCTCTTTTTTTTGTTTGTACGGAATAGTTCTCTAAGGTCGGATCTCGGTCTCTGTTCAAATTTTAATGAGCAGCGAAAAAATTCAAACGAAACTAAATGCAGGGCATTGCTTTTGCTTTTGCTTTTGCCTTCTGTTTTGTTTTTACTGCGTAAATAAATGCACATATTTAAAGAATTTTTTTCACTGGAGGCAGGCAGCGGTAGAGTATTTTCCATATTCATTTGCATTGCCAGCAAAACGAGCGAGGGAAAAGGTAAAACAAATATTGTGTTTGTTGGACAAACAGTTTTTTCCAGTTTTTTCCGGCTGCAAATTGGGAAATTCTAGAATTTTGTGTGTATTTTCTAAACTGTTTCCCTGTTAGGGTAGAGATATACGCTGTGGTATCTATAATTTGCCAAGATACAAGGTCACCCTTCGGCAGAGTTGTAGATTGAACTTTTATCTATTCAAACTACTAGAATTATTTCAATCGGGTTCCTATTACTCCTTAAAAGCGACCTCTTTTGAGAGCTATGGATCCTTAATTTTACGACGAAGTCTCTTTTTTTGGTAGAGTAATACATAAACCTTTTATCTAACCATCTACCCAATGTTCATTCAGATACGAAGTGTAGTACTGTCGGAAAAAGAAAGAGAAAAAGAGTGGGGAATGGTTGTTCCTCCTGTTATCTGTCAAACGCAATTTGTGTGGCCTGGCGACTAACTGAATGATGAACAGTCGCACGTGGGGATTGATTTTTGGTCCCGAAAATACACATGTTGCACGTAGGAGCAAAAAGAAATACGATTAGAACTGCTCCCATTCAAACGCAGGAAGGGCGAATGGGAAATGGCAAATCTGTGGTGATTTCTGGAGCAAAAAAGGACCTTGGTCACGTACGCACAGTCCAAAAGGACTTGCAGGACGCACACAGATAGATAGAGAGAGAGAGAGACTTCCTTCCGAAAGTAGAAAAACTCTCGCGTCATGATGAGATGACATTGAGAGCCACTTGTATATTTTTTTTGGAAGAGTACTATTTCTGTAGAGACCTGCGTGTCGGATGTGGGCGGCGGCTGCTGTTTCAGTTATTGCTTATAGCTCAGCAAACTGGCATAAATTCGAATAGTACCCGAGTAGAGCTGTGCAAAATCTAAATAATAACAATTGCGATTTGGGCAATTAGCTGTGGGGACATTGTAAAGTTTTGTTAAACGCTCTGGTATATCATTTCACAGCTGAGCGAATCTCCCTTGTGGTTCGGGGAGCTATATAAATGTGGGCCATATCTTTGGAGATATATCAGTTTGTCATTCGATTCATTGGGATAACATCTAAGCATCTAAAAAATAGCAAAATTATGCCTCGTTTTGTGTGCTCTCTGCTCGCTGTGGTGCTCCTGGGCGCCGTTTTGGTGCGCGGCTTTGACGAGAAGGAGGCCATGGCCAAAATGATGGAGGCCGCCGAGACCTGTCTGGGCGAAGTGGGTGCGAAAGACACTGATCTGCAGGATCTGGTCAAGAAACAGCCGGCCGCCACCTACGAGGGCAAGTGCCTGCGTGCCTGTGTGATGAAGAAGTTTGGTCTGCTCGACGGCAACGGAAAGCTGGACACTGTCGCCGGACACGAGAAGGCCAAGCAGTACACCGGCAACGATCCTGCCAAGCTAAAGATCGCCATGGAGATTGGTGATATCTGTGCGGCCATCAGTGTGCCGGATGACCATTGCGAGGCTGCCGAAGCCTATGGCGCCTGCTTCAAGAGCGAGGCCGTCAAACATGGCCTGATGTAAAGGAACCCCAAGTGCCCCCAAGGACGATGGAACCGGACAAAGACCAATACCAGGAGTGGCCACTCCACTGCGAACTCTGTTTAAGTTTCGATGTAATTGTTAGAGAGATAGTAAATGATGGCATTTGAAAGAGCAAATCTTATTGTGGACACACTTACTCTCGTACATCTTCTTCTCCTTGTCGGCATCCATTTTGCCCAACGCATCGCGCAGGTTGTGGCGCTCCTCCTCATCCAAATTGCACAGCAGCTCCATGGCCCGCTCCTCGCTCAGGTGGGTGCTGAACTTCGAGTACCGTCTGTGAGTCAGCAGGGGCATCTGTTGGAGCAGAGACGTCTGTGGGAGTAGACATAATCTTCGGGCTCCCATTGTTGTCGTTGTCGCTGTTATCGTTGTGGCTGTGGGCGCCTGGCAGTGACGCACTAGATGCCTGAATGCAGCCTGACATTGTCGTCGCATTTTCACTATGCTTTTGGTCTTATTTATTAATAAACTATTACACAATTTGCAATTGCACGCAAGATGATCGAATCGTTGATGTGACGTCACAACTAAGAGAGAGCGGCTTGGAAGTATAAACAAAAACAGAAACTTTTGCCACGCACACGCACACACACACAACAAGCACGCACACACACAGAAGCCAACAAAGCGGATTTTTCCGAATTCAGACTAGTTATCCGCGACACGTTCATTCAACACGAGTGGGGTTTTGGGGCTTTTGGGGCGGCATAGAAATATTGTCCGGCCACATGTTGCTAACTCATGTTGCTGTGAAACACCATATGTCTGCTTGGAAGTTTTTATACCCTATTTTCTATAGTTAAACCTTAAAATACCACTTTAATATATTCTGGGGTGAAGCACCGCCAGAGAGCTAAACACCATTTAATATTGATGCCTTTGCGCGATAAATATTCTACGAATATAATGAATTACTCATTACAGATATTGATATTTTGAAAAAACAAAGCAACCCTTGTCGGTTGATTGCGGTAGCAACAGCTGACTCGGCAAATTATATATTTGATACATGGAAACTACACAGGGATGAAATTTGCTACATGGGAACTACAGAGGAAACCAATTTTACACGACTGGTCACATTGTAAATAAGAGAAAGAAATAAGCGGGAGTCTAAAAAAGACAAGAACGATTGCTAATTATTATACAAAAAAAAGGTAAGATTTTTATGAAAAAGCTACATAAATTTTAAAGTTATACATTTTTCATATATTTTATCATCTAATAAACGATGCTGTCCTTGGCTGTCCTCTCTGTAAAATCATTGTAGTTCGCGCTACTGGGCCGTCTATCACCAAATATGTAAGTAGCATTGCTCTTTTCACTCAACATATTTTGTATGTAAGGGCTTCTCCAATTGAGTCCCAGGTGTGGTTACCAGAGGTCCAGTATATACATATGTACATATGTATGTATAATCGATTTTCATGTGCATAAGACACTGCTTGACCTGATCCCACTCCTTAATGGTTCAATTATTCTTTTCAAATTGACACCCTGTTAATGGCTGACAAAAGCTGATAGGAGTGGAACTCATTTAGAATATTTGTTTAGAATAAAATATCAGTTTATTGGGGGGATTGGATTCGTGCTTATACAACTAAATGGCAAAAATCTTGACAGTAGATTGCGAGCCCAGTCAGCAGCAATGGGTTTTGGGTGTTTAGGTTTGTAGGCGTCGTAGCGTACGATATGTGATCACTTAGTAATATTCCAAAACGTATTATTATGTGCAATCGTTGGCCCGCTGTCCGGGTATGCCACGCAGCTCCTGGTTGAGGGTGCGCAGGAGCGGATGCTTGCCACAGCCGCAACGACCGTGGAAGTCGTCCAGATCCAGGGCCCAGACCATGCCGCCGCCAAGTTTCAGACTCCGGACAAACTGCGCTTTGCGTCGAATGTCCGCCACATCGTCGTAGGAGACCCATTGATTGCCACTGTAGGCATACGGACCGATGCGACCTTCCTCATCCCTGACCACAGTCCAGCCGCCGTTGCTGACCTTCTCGCAGATCTCGTAGTAGGCCAGGAATCCTCCGGCACGTGTGTAGGTGCCCGCTTGTCCGGGTCCTGCAGTCTTATCGTTCAACGAGCGATGCTTTTGATCGGTGAGGGAAAAGGATTGTCCATAGAGGGGCATGCCCATGATCAGCTTGCTCGCGGGAGTGCCCTGATCCAACCAGTAGTGAATGCTAAAGTTTCCATTAAAGTAGGGATTGGCATCGCCCTCTACATAGTATAGAGGCGCCACATGTCCTGTCTGCTTGTCCCAGTGACCATGGAAGTCGTAGGTCATCACGGCGATCCAATCAAAGTATCGCGAGAGTTGGGGCACATCATAGCCCGCATCGATTACCATTTTACTGGGCGAGACAGCGGCAGATAAGAGCAAACCCCTGGGCCGGAAGGCATCCGAGAGTTCCCTCACCAAAGCCGCAAATCCTTGCTTCTCGGCAGGCGATCCCTTGGCGCAATCCACCTGCCAGCATACGGGGTACTCCCAATCCAGATCCAAGCCCTCAAAGCCATACTTTTCCACAAAGCTGAGGACACTCTCGATGAAGCGTGCCCTAGCCTGAGGATCGAGCACCAGACGGGCATATTTGCTGCCCAAGGAGTCGTTCCATCCACCAATGGCCACAGTCACGCGGAGACCCTTCTGCTTGTATTCTACCACTCGCTCGTAGAACCTATTGTCGATATCCGCCCACGAATCATGGGTCTTGATCGTCAGGGAATTGCTATTCAGCACCGCGAAGCCATAGACAATGTGGGTGCACAAATTGGCATCGATATCCTCGGGCACGTACTTGCCCTGTCCAGGACGATACCACGCCCAATTGGTGAAGTAGCAGACGACCTTGTAGTCCTCCCCATTGCCCAGTGGAGGTGCTGGCGTTGGCTTGGGCCTCGTGATGGGCTTTTTTTTGGGTGGGGTAAACGGTTTCTTTGTGGGTTTCGTGGCAGCAGCTGCAGGGGAGACTGTGGTGCTGCTGGGTTTTGGTCGATGCACGGCCGGTGCTTGAGTGGTCTGATCCGCACGAACGGAGCATTTGGCATTGTTGGGCCAATCGCAGTAGTTTTCATTCCAATGGAGACCCGCTGGGCAGCTATAAAGGAAATAAATCGCATGAATATAGGGGATATAGGGATATAATTCTGAAAGGCCTACCGCTGTTCTAAAAGCTCTCCGTATTGGCAAATGTAATACTTATTGCAATCCTTCTCATGGGCCATATAATTCCTTCCCTTGCAGTCGATAGCCTGGCCAGAAGAGGGTTCTCCTGGGGTTTCTATCAGAGGAGCAGCACTCGTGTTGATGGTGGGCTTGGGGGACTCTTTATCGCCAGAAACTGAAAGAGTTACAACCAGAATACATTAAAGATCGATAGATAATGGCTATTTTCCTCGACTTACTCATAGTTTTCTCACTATTTTCCAGCAAACACTTGGGATGCGGTCCACCATAGCCACGCAGCACACGATTAATGGTCTTCAGCAGAGGATACGATTCACAGCCGCAGTCGTTTTTGAAATCATCTAAATCTAGGGCCCAAATCATGGCACCGCCCAAGCCCATGGCCTTCACATACTCGCTCTTGTGGCGAATCATTGGAGCATCGTCAAAGGACACCCATTGATCTCTTAAGTAAGCAAACGGCCCCATCCTGCCTCTGGCATCTCTGACCACATTCCAGCCCCGCTGGCGGATGTACGAACAGATCTCGTAGTAGGCGAGGAATCCGCGTGCTCTGGTGGCCTCTCCTGCCTCTCCCCCGCCATAGGTGGGGGCATTCAACTGATGATCGCTCGACTGGGCCAAAGAGAACGACTGGCCGTACATGGGCATGCCCATAATCAGTTTCTTTCGATCGGCGCCACTCTCTAGCCAATAGTTGATGGAGAAGTTGGCATTGAAGGTGGCGGTACCATCGGGATGCTCGTACATGGGTGCCACATGTCCTGTTTGCTTGTCCCACTGTCCATGGTAGTCGTAGGCCATCACAGCGATCCAATCAAAGTAGCGCGAAAGCTCTGGCACATCATAGCCGGCATCGATGACCTTCTTATTGGGCGACACAGCGGACGAGAGCAGCAGACCCTTGGGCTTAAAGGCCAGGGATAATTCTCGTACCAAATCAGTGAATCCCTGCTTCTCATCGGCCGTGCCCTTCTTGCAGTCCACCTGCCAGCACACGGGATACTCCCAGTCCAGATCCAGGCCATCAAAGCCGTACTGCTCGATGAAGTCCATCACATGGCTTATGAATCGCGCCCTGGCCTGGGCACTCCTTACCAGACGCGCGTACTTATCGCCCGCGGAATCGTTCCATCCGCCAATGGCCACCGTTACCTTGACGCCCTTCTTCCTGTAGGCCACCACCCGCTCGTAGAACTTGTTGTCCAGATCGGCCCACGAATCGTGCGGCTGTATTGTCAGTTTGTCTCGATTTAGGACAGCAAATCCATAGACAATGTGGGTGCAAAGATCCGCATCGATGTCTTCGGGCAGGAACTTGCCACCGCCTTGACGGTACCAGGCCCAATTGGTGAAGTAACAGACGACCTTAAAGTCCCCTGAGGTTTGGGCTTCCATTTCAAAGTCACCCTCTTCGATGTCTTCGTTGGGATCGACTTCGTTTTCTTGAGAGGACTCTGAGGAGCCACCTGCCTCGTTGCTGGATTCCTGGGAGGAACTGTGCTCTGGCTCTGCAGCCTCCACTTCCACGGCTTCGCCTTCGTTTTCATCTTCTCCTGTGGCCTCTCCTGAAGCTTCTCCTGCCGCGGCTTCCTGAGATGTTTCTCCTCCCGCTGCTGCTTCCTGAGAGGCTTCTTCTCCTGCTACTTCCTGTGAGACTCCTCCTCCTGTCTCATTTTCCACAGAAGCTGTACCTCCCTCCTCCGAAATGGCCTGCTCTTCCACAGATTCTGGCTCCACAGGGTTTAAGCCAGCTAAAAAGAAGATTTATAAGCATTCTCAAACAAAAACTAAATCACTTTCAAGCAAAAACTCACGCGCAGGTTCATAGCCACTGGGTGGATCCTTCAGGACATCATGGATTTCCCTTAGCAAAGGATGCACGCCATCGCCGCAACGATTGCGGAAATCATCCAAATCGAGGGCCCACACCATGCCGCCACCCAAATCCAAAGCTCTAACCAGCTGGGACTTCTTTCGAATCATCTCCGGATCGTCATAGGACACCCATTGGGTGCCCTTGCGCGCATAAGGACCCATGCGGCCACGTTCGTCCTGGATAACCTCCCAGCCCTGGTGCTTCACACGATCGCAAATCTAAAAGAGAAAAGGGGTTAAGTTTGTTTCATGTTTAAGGTATTCCAAGACCCACCTCGTAGTAGGCCAAAAATCCTGCAGCTTTGGTGAATTCTCCAGCCTGACCGGGTCCTGGCGCCTTGGCATTCAGACCATTATTGTTGGCATTCTCCAGAGTGAAGGATTGTCCATAGAGAGGCATGCCCATCACAATTTTACGAGACGGAGCTCCCTTTTCAATCCAGTAGTTCAGGGAATAGTTCTGCAAGAAAACAAAGGATAAGATTCGTAGAAAAAGCCAGAGAAATGTCCCTTCTGCAATACCGACCGCATTGAAATAATCAAAATCATCATCTGGATGATGATAGAGTGGTGCCACATGTCCTGTCTTCTTGTCCCACTGTCCATGGAAGTCGTATGTCATCACAGCGATCCAATCGAAGTAGCGCGAGAGTTCTGGCACTTCATAGCCCGCATCGATGATCTTC